TTTTTTTTCCTTTTTACAACACCTTTTTTACACCAGATATTGATTATAGAAGCCTAAACCTTCAATATCTAGAGGTTAAACAAACGTTGATTGGTCGTTAAGGTGGCACTTTCAAAAATAAAGAGTTGGTAGTGTGTTCAATAACCTGAAGACATTTTCAATTTATTTTAAAAGTAACTGTGGTACAATTTGCAAGAAAAGCTTCGATTTCCCTATCGCCTTCCGATTTTCGTTACCGTTGGGAAAGATTCGGAAGTCTTCGAAAACCTTATAGTGATCTCCGGAATTCTATCGTCGGTGATCTTCGGAAACTTCCTTTTTCTTTAGAAATCTTCGTTGTAATTTGCAATCGAGGTATTTGGCCAGATTTGATATTTGTTTTTAAGTGTGTTTCAGATTGTCGGTACATGCCTGCAAGTATAATTATTTCTTAAATTATACAACTGTGTGTTCATGTGATTAATCCAGATGACCATCCATACTCTTTCAAGAGTAATTTTCATCGTCCTGCCATTTTTCTGCTTTATTTCATCATAAGATTGAGAATTTAGTGGTTGAAGATAATTTTGATAGTAGCAAGACAACTTAAATTTGTTATAGAATAATTTTGTTTGTTTCAAAATTTTTTTTCCTATTTCAGGCTACAGGCATGCGGTCCAATTAGTCTCCTTTTGCATTAAAAAACACTGAATATATCGGAGATGTTATTCGATATGAACTGAGAGAGTAAAGTGTTGCGCGATAATTTTGATTATAGCAAGACAATTTATTCGTTGTAGACTGAATTTCGTTTTTGCCAAATATATTTTTTCGTTGTCGTACAGGCCATTTAAATGTCTCCTTTTGCCTGAAAAAAAACACCCAATGTTACATTACTTTGTCGATTCCGAAATAAAACGTACAGGCNAAAGTTGTCAAATTAAAATTCTTATCTCGTTGTCATCTCCAATGTAGAATAACCATTAACTCGTCGTGAATATCAATATATTCTTTGACTTCTTTCGTTCGCCGGGTCATACCAATGCCGTGAGGCCATTTCCTTTCCTTAAAAAGAAGACAAAAAAGAGCAACATAAGCTTTTTGTCGGGACAAATGTATTTCTAAGATACACTATTACTACCAGGACAAGCAGCGACCAGAGCTCATATGAACCGGCTGCACGTGGTAACGGTTTTCAACTTCCCGGGAGCAACACACAACAAGAAGAACAGCAAATATCAAACAAATTCAGCGCAACGGTATCTTACAAACTTTCGCAAAAACTATTTCCTTCACTGGAATGTTTCATCTTAGTGATCGCAAAACTAAGACTATCTGGTTTTGTGAACGAAGCTGTGTGCAGCTCGGTAAAGAAAATTGCGAGCGAAGGGTTGAACTTAACTTTAGGAAGGTAGAAATTGTTCCGTTTGGTGAAGAGCAAAAAGATTGAAACGTACTCTCACCATTAATATCTCAATACTTCTATCTCGTCCTGCTTTATCTTCTTCGAAGGAAGAACATTACTAGATGTGACATCACTAGGAGCACATAAATCCACGTCTTCACACTATGACCAAGTGTTTGGTTTGACGCATATTCCACAAGTAGTCATGAATATTGATTACAAACTAGAACCAATCGCTGACAAAAACGTCGCCACATATTTTCACGACTTGCATTTTAATTCTCATCCAAAACAGTTGTATCATTTCAAAAATATCAATTTCACTCCATATTTTTGCATTTTAAGGCGTTATTAAGACAGTAATATACGTGAAATTAAATACCTTAACCTTTTGTAAGACTGATTCACGCGGCCGTCATGTTTCGTTAAATACCACTATTTTTCTTTTCTTGTGTAGGTTTTTGATTTCCTCTGATGGCCTGCGAATCAAAGCTTATTAGGTACAACTGGTTAGTAACAACTTAAAAAAAATAAAAGAACTGCTTTAATTAAACCGTTTTTAACAGTTTGATATTTGTATGACTTTATTACTTTTAAGTGTTGTTGAAGGGCATTCAAACGAAATTGAGTTATTTTCGTTGGATGGGTTCCCACCTACTTTCTCCTTGCATTCACAACCCCGCAGGCTTTTGATTGTTTTTTTCACCGTGCACTCACTTACCTTTCTCTTTCCATTTCCCCTTCCAATCCCTGCGCTTTCCGCCACACGCAAAATCGTTCATTCATCTGTGGGTCTCCATCACTGACATTGTGAATTCGTAGTGGGGTTTCATATGTGTTATCTCGTCCGTTACGTCGTGACCTCCTTGCGTTATGCGCTTCACGTGCATTGTCATGGGTTTTCCAACGTTCGGCTATGTCTTTCCTTGTGCGTTGAGCTACAGTGAAATTCAGTTAATCCTATCACCAA